GATAATATTAGAAGGGAGAAATAAACTCAGACTCTCAAAACCTAGATTATTTCTTCAAAACTGCAGTTCCCTCTCCTACCCGCCCCCCTCAACACACACACACAAGGACCTGGAAAAAGGATGCTTGCTCTCTATTCTTTGAGTGTGTTGATTTTATTCTGAGTTTGTGAAAAATTAGGATGTTTTGATGCAGAAGGTAACCAATGTAGCAGCCATAAGTTAAAAGAGGGTGATGGGGGGAAAGATGAAAATAGCAGGTAACAGTGGCTGTTTGAAGTTCTCCCCTGTCTTGACATGACAGCATCAATTTAGGCATTTAAGGAACAAAATGAAAACAATAAATGCCAGCTTTCTGAGAGCAACATTATTCCTGTCTTTAGATCTCTATTAAAAGAATGTGATGATGAGACAACAAAGACTTTACATGTTCCCTTGAACTCTTGCAGCTATTATCAGGGTGCTTTTTAGCTGTTTAGCACTTTAAGTCACCAACAACATCATTTACACCATTTCCTCAATGAGAAGAGGTAAGCATAGGGAAATTTGAGAAGTTATGTTGGACCCATGTGCAGGGAAGGCCATTGAGATCAGAAGCAATACTGAAGTTAATATTTTGCTATCCATAAATTCATAACTTTCTTCTCTGGATCAATAAATCTCATAAGTTTTCCTCCATGGCTACTAGGACGCTTCCAATATCTTTTCATTTGAGGTCAGGAATGAGATTAAATCAACCTAGTGATGATTTAGATAAAACAATCAGGTTATTTTAAAGGGCATGGATATTAATACCTTGATTTTCAAGCTATCTTTCTTTGAACGACTTGAGAACGTCCCTTTACCATTCTGAAGATATCGTGTGTAGAAGCAGTGTTAATTACTTTGGAGAAAGTTGTCAGATACACATTGAAAACATAATTATATACTTATATTTATATCTCTGACCTCTAGTCAAACAGATAAAATATGAACAATCTTATTCATCTCCATATTTTAAAATGAAAAACGAAGAACGAAGAATATTTAACAGTCTTTCCCTTATTTATAAGACAAATCTTCCAACTCCCAAATCAAACTATTAGGATCGCCATAGTCATTCACTTGAAACTCTGACCTGAGCACAGATTATATCCAGCGCTCTGTTTTAGTTCCCAAGGGGAACTCTGTACACTTCTGCATTCTCCCTGCCCCCAACAAGCTTACAGTTCATGCCATCATGATCTTATTTGGCTCTAACTCACCCACTAGCTGTATACTGCTGGACAAGTTATTCAATCTCTCTAAACCACATCTGCAACATAGATCAACAATAAAGACACTAGCAGTACCTATCTAACTGGGCTGCTGCAAGGCTCAAAGAAGATGTTATAATAATGCAATGTGTTAGAATGAGCATGCTGTCATTAAAATACCCATTTAAATCAGGTCCCTGCTATAAAATCCAAACTTCCCAAAACAGGAGAATATACCTTGTGATTCATATACATCATCCATCATTTACTCCTGGACATAATGTATTTAATGAAGACTGGAAATCAACTTGAAGTAAATGATTAACCTTGACATAGTAATGGCAAACAAAATTTTCATTAGGGGAATATTGTCAATGTCCTTGTCTGTTGAGAATGCAGAGGAGCCTAGCTCTGCTCCTGTATTTTCCTACTCTGAGGACAGGGCCCTGATTCAAAGCTTGGTGAATATGAGCTCATTAGGCTCCCACACAGCAAGCTTGATGGGCAGAAGAAGACCTTTTCTTCATGAATTTCATCCTATACAATAACTATACTTCCATTTTCTTTTCTCTGCCAGATTGTCAGTTAAAATAGGTTGGCAAAAGCAATACAAATAATTATTTTCTAATAATTTGTAAACTTCTTTATATAACAAATTTATTTAGTGTTTTATTCAACAGTTCAATCACAGAATTACTACGTGTTACATGTTTTTCTGGTTTTGGTCATCTCTAAAAATCAGAAAGACAATAAATTCAATTCTTCTTTATGACACACATTAAGGATAGTAGTCTTATTGCTCAAGTAGATAAACTATCAATATCTTAGAGAATGTCTCTTTTAATAAAAAACAAGATATAACTAATGTGAGCCAATGCTCAGTTCCCACATAGTTCTGCGTGTAGTACAATTATTGACTCATTGGATCACGATCCTGTGACGTAAATTCTGCTATTATCCTCATTTTATGAATGAAGAAACTGGGGCACAGAGAGGTTAAGTTGCTTTATCAAGGTCACCCAGTTAAGAATTGGTAGAGTTTAAATGGAACCCATGTAATTTATTTCCAGAGCTTTCCTTTTATCCTGTTACACTTGAAAGGGACCAAAGTCTTGCCACCCTAAAACTACCTTCCGAGATATTAATCTTAAAGCTGATTATTAGGAAACGAAAGACTCAGAAAAAACATTTGATCCTCTCCCTTTCCTGGCCAAGAAATTCAGATGGAAAGACCTGCTCCAGGAAGGAAATCTTAAGTCTATTCACCTTATCCCAATTTGAATCAAGTATGGTAGATAAGAAGGCTCCAGGCAGGGGCTTGATAACTGGAGGACCCGCTATGTCCCATTGTTTTGGGGCAACTCAGAAACAAAAACAGCAGGACTTTATGCCACTCCCT